CACCATGGAAACGCCAAAGATGCTTTAATATGTTGTGCGTTTTAATAGACCGGTGACGACCGCACAGAGTAGCATTATAACAGAACTTTCATGATTCCACACTCAGTCACGTCGTCATCAAACTACGCCTATGTCTTTTTGTTTATTTTGAATACTCGCCCTCTATTGGTGAAAATTACATATTGTGCCTTTAAGCTCACTAAAGACAAGTAAACAGTCAGCGATTAAATAAGAATGAGAAACTAATTACTAGCAATAGGACAAAAAACTACAGTAGAACAAATAAATACGAAATGCTACATACTGTACATTGTATAAAGTCAAATGTATAGAAACACTGCATATTCTTCACTGTGTAAATTGAATATATATTTCTTCTTATTAAAGTTACAAAAGTGATTGTCAACAGTAGTGAGAGATTTTCTCTCATTTGTTGTTTGATTAACGTGAATGACAGACACTGCTGTCACTTTAAGAGCTGCCCGGGTTCCAATATACTGCTGCATGTGTTTTCTTTCTCAGCTGTTTGCTTTCACTTAAGACCTACTGTGTTTACGAGGATACTTGCAAAAGACAGGCATTTTGACACATAAAAGTGTGTGTATTTAATCGTTCAAGGCCTATAAAGAGGCAAAAATAACTGTTCAATACTCCCTTGCTCTATGAGCACTGTCTTCACAGCGCTCAGAAACAGTCTCAGACAGCTCGCGCATATAGCGAAATGGGTTCTCTTTTGCTGCTGATTGCATTTCAACAGCTTAAAATCACTTGTTTTTAAACCTTAATGCTTAAAAACGCATGCAAACGATAAGTTTTCATGACCACGTGGCACAGCAACGTCACGTGAGCGTGTAACCATGATAGAGATGATTGTACAAAATCTCTACCGGTTGACAAATTTCTACCGGTTAAACGTGTCTACCAGTATATCGCCCACCCTTAGTCCGAACTGTCTAACATTAGTGTGTGTCTGTGTGTGTTGTATACTAGGGTAAACCCACAGCTGCTCTGTAATCCTGACCTGACCTACTTGGTCATATGACCTTTGACTCTAAGGTCAGCTCTCCAGAGTACCTGTTGGGCAGAGTCAGCCACGTGTTTCCCACCCAAACAGGCATGTGGGCTTAATTTTAGGCATCAGACTCATTGTGAAAGTTAGAAATAGGATTATTTGTTAAACAGCACAAGTACATCTGTAGACAGTGTCCTCACTATTTATATTCACATATTTAAATAAAAGTTCGAGTGTAAATAAAGATATGAATAAAATTGAATATAGTGTTTTCCATTGAAACATGAAGGCTATTATATGTAAACAGATATATTTAGCTCTGACAAGCACTCTTGGCATTCATTTGTTCATGGTTAAAACATTCATATAGGATCATGATTGAGTCAACACAGTTGAGTGGGAGATTGCCCTTCTCTTGAAAGACCAGTGCCTTCCTTCAGTCTGGTTAATTCAAATTGTGGTTTGTCTGCTGCTAGAGATTTACACACCCAACACAAAAAGCCCAAGGCCTTTGAGATTATTTGGGTTGGACTGGTAGTCTAGTCCCTTAATCTTTACATAAACACAGCTTCCCTTTTAAAAACTCCCAAAACTCTTGTACTAAATCTGTTTAGAGTCAAGAAGACAGCTGCTTTGAGTTGGTTAACAGAGGATGAAAGGATCGACTCCCCGTCTGTCCTGATTCCACAGAATTCCTTAATCATTTTTTAGTTTGTTTACAGAGACCAAAATGATTAACCTTGTGGACTATTACAACTATGCCAATAATTGCCAATTGACTTGATGCAATGCTGGTTATACAGTGCCCCCAATATATATGTAGACATCTAATATGTATAAATTTTAGTGCATAACAATATTAAAGCAAGCAGCAAACATGATATCCTTTTCTCAGAATTAACTTTTTCCATTTTTGAAGAGCTACATTGTCATTTTTTCAATAATTTTTACTGGTTGGTCTCAGTATAATTTTAGTGAATCTATGAAATCACTTAATTATTATAGGGTGTATGAAGTCATTTCTCTATTATGATCATTTTGGCATATGTGATTCTCTCCATGTCAGTTCAGACAGTCAGGCTGCTTGTTCTGTGCCTCGTCCTAGAAGTAAAAGCCCATGAATATTTTAAATGCCTCTGACGCTGTACGATGCCTGTGCTGGTTTTATGACTGCCTCGATATGGATAATGAGGATGATGATGCTCTGTTGGGTTGAGTGATATTTTAGGTCATCTTAGGTCAGGTCTCTCCTAATTAGGAGAAGAGGTGAAAAGCTATAGCAGCTCCAAATTCTGCCCAGTGGAATTATTTCCTGGCTGATCCCTTTAGATCTTTGTAAAACTCACTCTCCCACTGGTTGATTTCCCTTTGTTGCTAGGCGCTGGGAGGGTGGGGACCCAGGTGTGTCCAATCAGAAGACGCCCACCACCATTCTTCTGACCCCAGACAGGAAGTTTCACAGTTTTGGTTATGCAGCCCGAGATTTTTACCATGACCTGGATCCCACTGAGTCTAAGCAATGGCTCTACCTGGAGAAGTTTAAAATGAAACTACACACCACTGCAGTAAGGACAAACTCATAACAGTATTTTATTATTGTTGGACCTGAGGGGACTTCTTGTCCCAGCACATTTACGTGTTAAGGAAATTACTGATCATAAGTGTGAGGACTTCTCTTAAAATATGCTTCATGCCTGATATATTCAAAAATTACCACTACCGCGTAACTTGTATAACAAGTACTGCAAGCAAATTAATAACTCATTACTAACAGGTTAACCAATCAAAGCTTCATGAAACTGAAATAATACTGAGTTTTCTAATTTATTACATTTAACATAAATCTCTAAACCCAGGGTGTGAAAAGTTCCTGGAGGGCCACAGCCCTGCACAGTTTAGATATAACCCTAATTAAACACATCTGATCCAGCTAATCTAATCATTTAGGCTTATTTGAAAACTACATGGTATGTGTGTTGGAGCAGGGTTGGAACTAAACTCTGCAGGGCTGTTTGACATGCCTGCTCTAAACTATATTTTCCTCTGAGTATATTTTCCTCATTGGGAATGAGGTGATAAGTCTATCAAGTCTATCAAGTGTATAAATACATTTAGATTGACATGTCATGCTCTTTCTTGTTTCTGAGAGGTGTTACTGTCATTTTGTCTTCTTCAGAATCTGTCCATCGATACAGATTTACATGCAGCCAATGGGAAAAAGGTGAAAGCTCTGGGTATTTTTGCTTATGCTCTGGCCTTTTTTAAGGAGCAGGCTCTTAAGGTATGTTTTAGTACCATTATCATCTAGGACATTCAGTTTAAACCAGCCTACTTGCATTATTTTAACATGTACTCTACCATTCAGAAGTTTGGAGTTGATAAGATATTTTTGATATTCTTGAAAGAAGTCTATTTTATGTCTATCAAGGGTACATTTTTATACAGTAAAAATACAGTAAAACTAATATGTGAAATATTATATAGTAAATATTAAATGTTCATGTAACTGTTTTCTATTTAATTTTTTTTTTTATGTAATCTATTTCCGTGATGGCAAAGCTGAATTTTAAGCAGCATTACTTCAGTCTTCAGTGTCACTTGATCCTTAATTATTATTATTGTCAAAAATATTTTTGTGGAAACTGATACATTTTATTTCAGGATTCTTTGAATAGAAAGTTCAAAAGAACAGCATTTATTTACACAATCTTTTGTAACATTTTAAATGTCTTTATTGTCACTTGATCAATTTAATTTGTCCTTAAACTGTCATACTGACCTCAAATTTTATCAGTGTGTCAAAAATTGATTTTTGTCATTGGATACAGGAGCTGAGCGACCAAGCAGGGTCAGATTTTGATAATGCTGACGTCAGATGGGTCATCACAGTACCGGCCATCTGGAAAATGCCGGCCAAGCAGTTTATGAGAGAGGCATCGTATAAGGTATAACATTTCTTTCTCACGGCCACATATGCACAAACATGCACATCTCACTTTGATTAACTACCTACTTTGTGTTTTGAAATTGGATAGAGGTCTGTGTAGAATGTGTTTAATGTGTTTTCAATTAATGTAATGTTTAAAGTATTTTCACACAAGTTTGAAGGATGGGTTGGTTGTACAAATCCAAAGTGGGTGTTGGCACTGAGTTGTGCTATGATCTTCCCCTAGCGTTAGTGAGAGAGAAGGAGGTAAAAGAGCATTATTTTGCTGCCATGTCCATCTCAAATAGAAAAGGAATGAGATATACAGAAATACATGATGTAGAGAGAAAAAGCAGAGAACGGAAATGGAAATAGGAAAGACAGTGATCTCATCTCTTAGATACAGGCACTGTTTGTCTGTTTTCACTGTCTCTCATTGGACCACCTTAGAGACCCCATACATGTGAAGCTGATTCACTCTTTGTCTCTGTCACAGTTGCCACCATTGTGATTTGTGAGAGCATGTGTGTGTGGATCTGTGGATGACTGGGCAGTGTGTGTCTAGGGTATGTATTTGTACTATATTGATAAGATATTTACACCTGGTATTAACATCTGTCATCGGTGACCTGATTACAAGTAGCGAGATGGATCGCTGTTTACACCTGATTTTTACATATCACATAAGTGTTTATCACATGCAACTGAATTTTAATATTCGGCATAAAGAAGATGTTCTGTGAAGAACTTTTAGATCATTCGTTTTATTATTTTTATTTTGCCATGTAACTGGCAAAGTTTAAAGCTTTGTTTTAGCACAATGATTGGTTAACAAGTAAGTAATGCTTTAATGTTATCCAGGATGCATCAGGACAGATTAGTGTTTCCAATATAAATGTGATATGGTCACAAGTGTTTTCAATTGCTCCGCATTTTGCACGTGTATTTAGTGCTTAACACTTGTGATTGAATGCCTGAGGTGGATGCAGGTGTAAATGAAAGCAATAGACATCAAGTCAAAAGGAAAGAGAAATGAGAGATTGAGAAACAAAGCCTAGAGAAAATGCTATTATTATTAAGTTATTATTGCTGCTTATTCCATGTATGAAAAATATATAAAACATAATTAGGTTATGCATAATTATGTAATGCATTATTCAAACAAACTGTAAAGACTTTATTTACTTTATATGATGTGCATGCAAATTATAATAATCACAGTACAGTAGTCAACAGAGGGGTGAATTCTCTCACACTGAAGAGAGAGACAGAAAGAGCAGGGTGTGGCTTCGGTGTCTTTCATCTCAATCCAAAGAAAAGACAAAATGAGGCGGGGAAGTGAGTAAGCTACATAGATACACAGCAAGAAAAGAGAGAGAACAACAGGAGAAAGAGCAGAGAAGCAGGGGGAGTTTGCAACACCTGATATCTGCAGTGGGAATTCCTCCCAAGCTTGCCTCAGGAGTGAGTGTGTGTGTGTGTGTGTGTGTCTTCATTCCTTATATCATACAGGCATTATAAAATTCAAGCTTGATCCTGGGGTCGTTTCGCACATGAGGACGAGTTTCCTTCAGCTGACTGTTAAAGTTTCAGAGCAGCATTAACGTGTCCTTCAGCTTCTGGAGGAGCGTCAGGCTGCGTCTTCATCCATACTGATCATCTGGCACTGAGACACAAACACACATTCATTAAACACACACTCATTAAAGGGGTCATGAACTGAGAAACCAAAATTCCCTTTTTTTTTTTACATTTTTACACTTCCTCATATTTGAAGTGAGGTAAAATGATCTTGATATAACTGACCAGCCATTTGTGTCATTTAAATATTCATTTACCCAGCAAGTGAGTTATGACCGTTAATATTCAGGTCAGGATGTTTAGGGTTGTGCTGCAATAATTGTTTTAGGTTTATACGTAGTTCACTTCAACCAATGTCCTGTAGAGTGACATGCTAATGTGACATTTATTAGTTTATTTAATTATTTTACTCTTAATGTTTATATTATTAATATGTATATGAATTTAAAAACTGCAAAGTAAATACAATACTGAAAAAATATACAATTTGAGGTCAGCCCTTATTATACTTATATTTAGCAAAAATGTTAATGTTATTAGAAAACATTTATTTTACCGATTTTACAGATTTATTTCAATTAAGTACAGTTAAATAAAGATAAGTAAATGCTAAGTAAATGTTTAGATGAGTAAATGTGAATTTACTGGAGTCTTAACGTTTTCTAAGAATAAATGCTCATATTTATTCATATTTATCAAATGAAAGCTTCATTTATAATCATTTGTATGTTTTATGTATAAGTCAAGATGAGCCTGGGTTTCAGGCTCCTGTTTTAATGTTTTGCCGTTGTGCTGTGTACTCATCTAGGCTGGTTTGGTTTCTCGTGAAAACCCTGATCAGCTGATCATTGCTCTGGAACCAGAGGCTGCGTCCATTTACTGCAGAAAGCTCCGTCTCCACCAAATGGTTGATTTGGGCAACAAAACGGCCTTGAACGGTTACAGCCCAACTGAGAATGTTGGGATGGGAATGACCCAGGGTAAGCCACCTATATCATCTTTTACCATATTACAGGTGAACCACAAGCATTCTGCTATGAGGATAAACCAAATCATACTCATACTGTTCCAGTCGTGCTCAAGTTTATGTCACAGTACTTAAATGTTTGTTGAGTATAATTTTGTCTCTGTGTTTTGATGCCACCAACCTTTGACCAGTGATTAGTTCTTCAAAAGGCCAAATAGTCTGTAGTTAAGTTGGGCTGGTCATGATGTAGGGTCTTCTTTTTGAGAGATATAGACAGATCTAGCAAAAATGTTTGAACAAGTATAGCAAAGTAGTAACTTTAAAGATGTTTTTCCGTTGCTCAGTATAAAATTATCAATTTTTTCCAACATCCACTCCTTCCTAAAGGGGAGTTTAAACCAGATTAACAGTGCAATGGAAATCAATTCTAACATTTTAAACTAGCAATGAAATGAGGATTACTCCTGAACTAGAACTGCAGGATTCCTGCAGTCCAACATACCTATTAAACTCTCACCGCAGTGAGGGAGAGAAGCCAGGTGATGATGCATGCAGAAAACAGTGGGAGGGAGGGATAGATGGATGTTGCATGTACATTACTGTTCAAAAGTTTGGGTCAATAAATTGTTTGTAAAGAAATACTTTGAAAACTTCGAAAATTCTTTTATTCAGCAAAGGCCCATTAAATTGCTCAAAAGTGACGTGTATTGTTACAAAAGATTTCTATTTCAAATAGATGCATTTGTCAGAATTCTGATGAATAGATGTTTAAATATTAAAATAGATTTAAACAGCTGTTTTAAAATGTAATATTTTACAGTATTACTATTTTACTGTATTTTTGATCAAATGAATACAACCTTGGTGAGCAGAAGAAATTTCTTTCAAAATGTATTCTTAAAGGCCCCAAACTTTTGAACTCTAGTGTATTTACTACCATGCATGAACACACAGATGCCATTTTGTGGTATTTCAACTATGGGCACCTTTACTTTCCCAGGGGTTGATGTTTACATTTAAAAATAATAATAATAATAATTATTATTATTATTATTTATCTCATTTATGTATTATTTACTTTGCACATGCCTTTTATGTATATGTATTTTTTGGACTGATTCTAGATCAAATGTGACTTATGAAATTAGCCATAAGGCAAATGGACAAATTAAATAAACTAGTATGAGTGTGAAAAGTGTGATTTAAAGGAGTCCACAGGGTCAGAAGTGCCCATAGTTGAAGAAACATCCTACATTCCACAGTAAATATGCTGTGAACAGTTTATGTCACATACCAAAGTAAAATGTAATTGCATCAAATTCAGGCATAAAGGTGTTTTGTATAGAGGCAGAGCATTTTTTCCTGTATTTCTGCCTTTCAGTCCATTCCAGTTCACCTCCATTGCCCTGCTCATGTCCTTATTACAGACTGACAGCACATGCACATACACAGTGGGCTGTATATAAAAAAAAGTATTTTCACTTGAGTATATAGCATTTTAGTGGCCTGTGATTTTAGAAATGTCAATGAAAAGTAATTTTTCATGTGCATTCAGAAGGTAACAGTCATTTGGACCACTGCTGAATGGTGATGCCAGCATGAGAAACAGCTTTGCAAATGCACAATGCCTTTCCCTCTCTCTTCCTAAGTTTGCATGCACATTTATTCATAATTGTGTAATTGTTTGAGGTCATGCCTTGCATTACCTTGGAAAGAAAACAATTTCAATTATACCAAAAATGTTGACAATATTTCTTAATCTGTTTCTTAACCACATTTGATAACATTTTAATTATTATTGGTTAATGTCAACATTTAAGCATTTAAGAATGATAAGAATGTTATTTGGTCCATTATGTGTCTGAGACAGCTAAAGCAGAACTATCATTCCTGTAACAAACTATATCAGTGGACGTGTACTTATATGCAGTGACCTTCGTGTGACATCAGTGTCCTCAGTCTGATGACATCAGCAGCTCTACAGTCATCAGCAAGCACATCTGTAACTCTAAACTTCTGCACGTACAAAAGGAGTGACAGAGAAAGAATTTGATCAGATGGATTTTGTGCTTTTAAGTTGAAAATAACAGCAAAAGTTGCAGTAATGATGCAGTCAGTGACAAATAAAAGAGGTGAAATATGTGAACTAAATGATCATGATGCATTCGAAAGGAGTGTGAAATCGCATTTGACCTGCTGTTCTATAGATAGAGAGGGAGAAAAAGAATGGATGAAGGACAAAAGGAGTAGTGTTTATTGATTACTCTACCATCAGTAGTATTTGTGCTCTGATAGCCTGTATATTTGATATTCAATGGTCAGCAATGAAAACGTGGTTAATTTTAGATGGCGTTGAGAGCCTGAGACAGGAAGCGATTGAGTGTGGCGACCCGTTGTGGAGCAGGGCATCAGTGAGCAGCACAGAGGGGCTGTCTGTTTGACATACATACTGTACAGGGCGGTCAGAGACAGGCAGGGGATAATGTGTCCCTCTGAGGGATGTCTCACAGAAATTATTGAGCATCTGAATGTGTTTTTTCATTCATTAGAGAGGTTCAAACGACATTTAGAAGTTTGGGGTCAGTAATGTATTTTAATGTTTTTGAAGGAAGTCTCTTATATTTGCCAAGGCTACATTTATATGATCAAAAGACAGTAAAAACAATGATATTGTGAAATATGAATACAATATAAAATAACTTTTTATTTTAATATATTTTCAAATGTAATTTATTTCTGTGATGGCAAAGCTGTCATTACTCCAGTCTTCAGTGTCACGTGATCCTTCAGAAATCATTCTTAATGTGCTGATTTGTTGCTCAAGAAACATTACTTATGAATATCAATGATGATTTTAACAAAGGATTTTAACAATGTTAAATGTTAACAATCTGTCTTAATCTGTTTCTTAACCACATTTGTTAAACGTTTAATTATTGTTTGTTGATGTCAACATTTGTGCTGCTTAATATTTTTGTGGAAATCATGATACATTTTTTTCAGGATTCTTTGTCTGTACTTTTTTGATTTGAAGTTAATGCATCCTATTTATTTATTTATTTATTATTATTATTTAAAAAAATACAAAACCAAAGAAGTTTATGATCTCTTGTTGAATCCACACATGTTGTTGTCACTGACTTGATGTTTAGATCATCTAAAATAGGCTTCGAATGCTATGAGTGTTGAATTTGCTATCAAGGTGGTACAGGAATTTCAGATGTGATTCTGTTGTGTGGTTTAAACTGCTAGTTTGAGTGGTTAGGTCTCTCAGCCCTATCAGAAGCTGTCACTATACTGAAAAAAGGTCTGCTGGTCCATTTCATTGTTTTCTGTACACTTGAGGAAATGTCAGTCTCCATGCCGTTACTCTCTCTTAGAGCTTACACTTCCTGTTTGGGCATGTTTACAACTGCCAGGATGGCCATTATCCACTGATGTCATCAGACCAGCTGCCCTTTATCAGACCAGGACAATCTTCCCCTCCACAGTAAATGAACAGAGATTTTTACATTCTGGTCACAGTCAGGAAGTTCACAAAAGTGAAAAAGAGAGGAAGTCTTTCAGTGGAATAATCGTGGAAAGATGCACTAAATATTTAAGACTTACTGGTTTAATTGCAATGTTGAGCTATAATTATACTTTACTTTACTTATTTGCAACATAAAATGGTTGGGCCACAGGGGGTTAATAAAATGTAGTAATCTAAATTAGAATCCGATAATCTAATGCAGGTTATTTCAATTCATTTGATTAACAGTGTCTGTATTACAGGAAAAATGCACAAAAATGTTTTTCCCCCCAACTAAAGAGAGTTGCATGTTTGAACATTTCTAGGGATGCACAATATATTGGTACCATAGCAGTCATTGTCCGATATTAGACATTTTTTCATTTATTGGTATCAGTTGATATTGGATATTTAATTGTGGATAGTCATTAAAGTTACTCTTTGAAATACAATTTAACAATGTAAACACTGTTAAATGTAATAATTAGCATATCACAAGAAATATCCATTGTTCATGCGGTACATTTATAATGTTGTGATGTCTAAATTCACTTTTAGCATTTAAAATTATTTAAATATTTAGTGTTTAAGTTGTAATTTATTATAAATTGTATGGAATTTTATTATCGGCTGTAACGGAAAGAATTATCGGCTAATCCAGTACAACCAGAACTTTAATATTTTATGTCCCTAAAATTGAAGTTTTAAATAAGTAAGTAACAAAACATTACAGCAGTTTCACTGCTTTTCTTGACATTTCATGAATTTGCCTGAAGTTAAAGGAGTCTTGCATTCCATTGGAATTTCTTTTCCAGCAGCATCCCCCTGCTTACAGAAACCACATTCAGCCCATGTTCCTTTTTCATCCTGTCGCATTGCCTATAGAACTGCCACACACACACACAAACAGCTTCACGCTGCCTTCCCTCTCACACACACTTCCTGTCTCTCTCTGTCAATAACCAGCCAAGGAGCATGTGCGCCGTAACCGACAGAGCCGTACCTTTCTGGTGGAGAATGTCATAGGAGAGCTCTGGTCTGAACTCACTGAAGGTAGAGTCTGTGTCTTCTCACACACATTTTTTTTTCTTGTAGTATTTTGCTCCTGCTGTTTCTGATGCTGCTGTCATACAGTAAGTTAAGAAATCCTAAATTCTGAAGCTCTTAGGAAGGATGCACACTAGTCTCACATAGCCAGAGACCTTTCAGCAAAAAAAAGTACTTCAGTGCAGCTTATTCTGCCCAAGAACCACCAACTCAAACAGGAAGAGACTGTCTGACTGACATGTAAAGCGACCAATTGCTGTTTGGTTTGTTTTAATGCGTGGTTGTATATAGATAATGCATTTAAAAGAGTGGAAAATGTGTATAGGCAAAAGGTTTAGAATTTTAGCCTGTCTGTGCATACACTGTAAAAACTGACATTTGTGCTAAAAAAAAAAATTTGCAGTAAAAAAAATTACTGAAAAAACAAACAAACATTGGTAACACTTTATTTTAGGGTTTCTTAACTAGTTGCTTATTAGCATGCATATTACTAGAATATTAGCCATTTATTAGTACTAATTAAGCACATATTAATGCCTAATTCCACATGACCTTATTCTACATCCCTAATCCTACCCAATACCTAAATTTAACAACTACCTTACTAACTATTGATAAGCAGCAAATGAGGAATTTATTGAGGGAAAAGTCGTAGTTAATAGTGAATAAGTGTTCCCTATTCTAAAGTGTTACCGAAGCATTTATTTAAATCAAAAACTGTCAAATGTGAGCTAGCACAGACAATTCTGTGAATTTCTTGTCAGTTTATTCGTTTTTTTCACTGTAAAAGGTGGCAGTATTTTATTGTAAAATTACATTAAATATCCCATTAGATCAATTACAGTTTTTCAATTAACAGGTTTTTAATGTAGCATTTTTATAGTCTTTTACCGTTATGATTACGATCACTGCTGATTATTTCACAGTCAGTCAGATTGGAACCAAAGATTTTTGCCAGCACTTGCTATTTTTGCGTGTAATATGCATTGGACAGTCAGCAAACAGACTGTGGGTGGTCCTTGAATGTGTCTATTGAGACTAGATGCACCCTTGCTGAGAAGATAAGATGCTTAGTTTGAAATCCCTGCTCTGGTGAGCCCTACCCTTATTCTGCTGTCTGAATCAGCAGCTGCTCAACCATCAGTATTGCCTCAGCACACTTTGCCTATTCATCACTGCTGGAATAACCCCCACGCAAATTAAAATTCTTCAAAATCATTCAAATTTCAGTAAATTTTCTATGTTAAAGGGACAGTTCGCTTAAAAAATGAAAATGTACTCATTGTATTTTATTCCATGTCTATATGATTTTATTTCTTCTATGGAATACAAATGAAGATATTTTGCATAATGTCCAATATGCTCTTTTATGGAAAAAGTCATATGGGTTTGGACCATCATGAGAGAGTAAAATTTATTTTCTAGTTTTTTGGGTGGACTGTCTCTTTAAATATACAGTAATCTCATACAGTCAGTTTGTGAATATTTAACAGAACCTACATAGAATTTTAATTCCAAAGTCTTCTACTTGAGGTACCAATCAGTGAACCCTGAATGTAGGTCACTGTTCCTCTGACACCTTGCAAAAGTACTTGGCGGACATGTCAGCGTCACTCACATCCAACATCTGCAGAGAGTTCCTGAAAAAGTGTCAAATGTTACCAGACGAGATGTAAATCCATCCTGATGAATTTGTTTTTGCTGGTGACTCTCAAATGTTGTCTCTGGTGCTCTCTAGGTGACCGTTATGTGGTTGTTGATTGTGGAGGAGGGACGGTGGATCTTACTGTGCATCAGATCCGCATGCCGGAAGGGCACTTGAAGGAGCTTTACAAAGCCTCAGGTACAAGACACAGCTTTTATGACCTGTAGCTTGAGATTAACATTTTGCTTAAAAAGCTTTTATTTCCTATGAAAAGCGGTCTGCTATTCTGAAATGTCACTATTTCCAATCATCCGAAATGATTTTTATCTTTCCATTCTCTCCGCAGGAGGCCCATACGGCTCTATCGGTATAGATTATGAATTTGAGAAGCTCCTGTGTAAGATATTCGGACAGGATTTCATTGACCAGTTTAAGATCAAGCGTCCTGCTGCCTGGGTGGATCTGATGATTGCGTTTGAGTCTCGTAAGAGGGCGGCGACTCCTGACCGAAGCAACCCATTGAATATTAACCTGCCCTTCTCTTTCATCGACTACTACAAGAAATTCAGAGGACACAGCGTAGAGCATGCGCTGAGGAAGAGCAAGTGAGTGTCTAAAGCGCTGTAGTAGAAATCGCCCATTAATACAGTCCAGTCGAGTTTGATGCATTTCTCTGTATTCATAAAGTGGTGACTGTTGTGAGTTCTGCTGACTCTCCGCCTTTGTGGTAATTGTTGTCTGTCTCTTTTGAGGTCAGGCATGTGTGACCTACAGCCCCTGGAGAGTTAATCTGTCTTTTCATGACTGCTGTCAATACCGTACACACAGCCATTCAATAAGCCATCAGGCCCTGTATAAAGATGGCCAAGTCAGCTAAATGAATACTATGTTTTTTTGTGTGTGTGACTGCTGACTATGTGCGAAACACTGATAATCAAGGGGCATAGGAACAAGAAAATCTAAAAAAGGGGAGAGAGAGGGCACATTATGAATTATTTTCAGCTCGTCATGAATATTAATTTATGTAACTTTCACCCAGTAGCTCTAACAGATTTGCTTACAGGCAAGTAATTTTGTTAATTAGATAATTGCTTACAGAGGCTTCTGTCTGGTAGCATCATAATTTTATGCATGCGGCTATAATTTCTTAGCATCGCAGCCAAGAGATTACATTTAGAGTCTTCTAAAACTAGTTGTAATGGCTGCTTCCTGAGCAAATGTATCAGATCTGACACAAAATCCAATTAAGAGGTGAAATTATCTAGTTTTATCTTTCTATTATTTCGAAAATGTGAACCTGGTTTATTATTTGCATCGTTTAATGGTTCAATTTTTGTATTCTTTCCTAACACAGTAATTAGATAATCATTTGCGAGCCATGAGTAAGACTACTCTAACTTGCACGTTATGGATTTTGAGCTCTCATGTCTCACATGGGACAGTTTTTCCAACAAGCCTGCGAGTCAGGCATCTCTGAGCACTCGACTCATTCAGCCCTGCATCAAACTGCACAGCGTGGCCATATGGGAGTATGTGCATCTGTTTACTGGAAACCACAGCTATTAGCACACATGCACTGACTTTTATAGCAGTGGAAAACCTAATAATGTAAACTCAATAATATCAAGTTTCTCAATATTCTTCCATATGTGAAGATGACTTTTAAACTGCACCGAGGCCAAATGAGGATAATCTGTTATTTGTTTCAGTCTATAACTCTCGCTCTCTGTTTTTGTCTCTCCTCTGCAGTGTGGACTTTGTGAAGTGGTCTTCGCAGGGCATGCTGAGGATGAATCCAGATGCAATGAATGCACTGTTCAAACCAACTATAGACCACATTATACAGCACCTGAGTGAGTAACTACGCAGTAATTTACTGGAACAATAATATGATATTGATTTCTAGAGTTTAAAGTGAGATGGGAGTGTCAGTTGTCTGTATTTGGGTGTTAAAGGGAGGGCTTGCTACATGCATCATGAACCCCACTGAAATAAGAATTATATAAGTGATTATGTCATTTCTAATAGTATTTAATTAAATTATTTAATTAATCAGGATCAGATCATGGTTATTTATTTAATTGTCTTTGTATGTCAGATGAAATGGCATCAATATTTAACCAGAAAGCTGTCAAAAAGTATAAATCCATAGTAAAGGTGCACCAGTAAGCAAAAGTAACCAGAAATTTAGCTGAAAGTTTAAAGAGGAGAAAATAATATAAATTCCTTTCATCCCTTCACAGACATTCCAGACTACATTTTGCTAAAAGGCTGTATAACATAACATAACATTACATAATCTTTCAGCATACCAATCTCATAACATAACAGCAACATGTATAACAACAATATTTTAACAACATATCATCTGTTATTTTATTATTTTTATATAATATTGTAGCATTTATTAATATTTTGAATTAGCTTTTCTTTTAATTTTTAATTTTTAGTAATTTCGTTATGTGTTTTTGTCTCTTATGAGTTTTTTGTTATTTTTCTATATTTCTTTATAGCTTTATTTTAATTTTATTTCAGTTTTAGTTTTATTTATTTTAGTACTTCAGCTTAAATCTTATTTATTTCAGTAGTTGTCAAGGCAGCATTTTTAATTTTCATTTAAGTTTCCACATCTAATATTTATATTTATTTTTATTGGTATGGTATGGTATAGTATAGTATCCCAAAATATCAAACATGGAATCATAGTCTGAAGCTGAAAAATAGGCTAAAATATATTATGTGATTTTCTGTGAAATCTGTCAGCTGACTGCCCAGTATATGCCCAATATTTAGACAACTAGTGCCAACTCCTCCAGACTGCAAACTGGGGCAAAAATCTGGGCAAAAGTTGTGTAGTGTATTCCAGGCATTAGTAGAATGTGTCAAGCTGTATAAACTAATGAACCACTGGGAGACACAATTAGGGCAAGCGTTGGCCCAGTCAGGGAAGTCTCGACAATCTGCCCAAAATACTCTCACAGAACTGGGACAGAACTCAGTCCCTTGGCTCTTATGTTGGTTGAGCCCAGCTGTGATCTGTATCTGTTCAAACAAAAACTACAAAGAGGGACACCACTGCTAGTAAACTGGATTTTTGTCTTTGTCATTTTGATGAAAACCAAAGGAGTGCATAACATTCTTTGGTTAAATTCCCATGTGTTAAAATGTTTTGTGATGAATCTTGTAATGGACTAATTAATTTTTTTTTTTTCAAAATCCTGTTTCTCTGCTTTCGTTCTTCTATATGTTCTCCAGCTGAGTTATTCGATAGGCCAGAGGTGACAGACATTAAGTTTCTTTTCCTGGTGGGAGGATTCGCAGAGTCTGCTCTGCTGCAACAGGCGGTTCATAAGATGCTTCAGGGACGCAGCCGAATTATTATTCCGCATGACGTGGGCTTGACTATCCTCAAGGGGGCGGTGTTGTTCGGCCTGGATCCCAGCATCATAAAGGTCCGCCGCTCTCCACTCACCTACGGCGTGGGCGTCCTGAACCGTTTCGTAGAGGGGAAGCACCCGCCGGAGAAGATGCTTGTGAAGGGCAGTACGCGCTGGTGCACCGATGTCTTCGATACGTTCATCTCTGTCGATCAGTCAGTGGCGCTGGGTGAAACGGTAAAACGCAGCTACACGCCGGCGAAGCCGTCACAGCAAGTGATCGTCATTCACGTATACTGCTCAGAAAAAGAGTCGGTCAGTTTCATCACGGACCCAGGCGTGAGGAAGTGTGGTACACTGAAGCTGGATGTGAGCGGTACTGAGAGTCCGGCGGCACGAAGAGAGATCCAGACGCTCATGCAGTTCGGAGACACTGAGATAAGAGCCATGGCTGTCGACGTGGCAACCTCTCGCAGTGTCAAAGCGAGCATCGATTTCCTTAGTCAATAGAAGAAGATGAGGGATGAGTAAACCCCACACTGCAGAAGCTCAGCATTTTAGTTTTCCAGTAAAAATATCCAAACATCCTTAAAACATGTTATGTTTGTTACTTTTAAAATTGCCAAAGTGACTATAGAGACATTTGTTATAAAGGATTTCTATTTCAATCAAATGTAAACATACGTTCATCATAGAATCCAGAAAAAAAAACATATGTATCACGCATTCCACAAAAATATTACAGCACAACTCTTTTCAAAAATAAGAAAAGTATCTTAAGCGCCAAAGTAGCATATTCAAATGATTTCTGGAGAATCATGTGACAGAAGGCTGGAGTAATGTTAATAATTACATCTTTTTGCAAATTCTTTTATTTTCTTGTTACAAACATAAACCACTAAATCGTTGATTTATGCTTACAACAATAAAGAAAAAACTATAGGGTAAGAAAAACTTAATTCAAGATGTATATTTAAAATAGTATTATATCTTGTGCAGTTTTGCCTCTCGAGTAATTATTTTTGGTTTAAAGTATGTTTAGATATTTTGACTGGAAAACAAGACAAAATGCTGAGTAAAATGTTGACAGTGTAGAAGGATAGATGAAAGAAAGAGAAAATTAAAAATAGAGAATGAACGAGAGATGAAGATTTGGAGTCTCAATTAATACCATGTTTGCTGACCTTCCATGTGGCATTTGCTTGAATAGTTGTGCCATTCATGTTATTTTATTTGGTTATTTCATTTCTTATCCACAACTGAACTCAAGATGAAACTTCTCATATTTGGACAAAGCTGAGTTCATTTTGTCTCATCGACACTCATGTAGGCTCAGTCCCTTATTCTCTGTATGCTTCTATTATAGTCTATTTGTAGTCTTAGTGGCTATTTTCTGCACAGAGATGCAAACTCTGCATGGATAGAGCCAAAATACAGCTGCGTATTGCTAGTAGTGCAATTTGGGATAGCACTCTATAATAACTTAGCAAGACAAGTTCAGGTTAAGGCAGCTACGTTAGTCTTATATACACACCATGGCAGAAATATAACATTGTTCTCTTACAAAACATACTGCTTTGCTCCTAAACTCTGGTCTATTACCTCCAGGGCCCAGTCTAGAACCAGTTCATTCATTTAGGTTATGATGAGGAGGTAAAGCAGATGGTTTTGGCTACAGGACTAGTGACCAATTTGTTAGTCTGAAACAGAAACTTGGTATGTTCTTCATCGCAAACATTTAGGACTAACTTTGAGAATGGTACCGAAACCTGAGCTGCACATCACAAAGGTGCTGATTCCTGTGACAAAATTACCGTCAGTTTGTCACACTAGTGCTACAGGACTACGTGGCAAAACACTTTTTTTTTTTATTGTTCTTATGTCTCATGTTGACTTTTTTTTCTGCTTTTTTGTTTTTTTTTTGTATGTCAAGGCATTTTAGGAGTTCTGGACAGTGACTCTGTTTGTCTCGAAATTCAGCATATCTTCATGTTGTTGGTCAGTATGTTGCTCTAAGCAGAATGAGAACGCATAAATCCTAGAATGTGAATCTTAATCATCGTTTGAAGTGGCAGTGACAGAGAAGCTGCTAGCTGTACCTGCAACATGATTTGAAACGATAGTCATTGCTATGTGCTAGTTGCCTTTAATCCTGCTCCTCAGAAAGAGAAGCCACAGATTTATTTTTTTCTGTTTTTATTTTCTATTTTTATTTAGGAGATTATTTTGGAGAATATGTGACAAATGAAATGTTTATTTCTGTATATACAGTATTTAAAGATATTGTACAGGTTTTTAGTGTTGTTTTCGCATTAGTGGCTTTATGAGCAGTGTGTGTATGCAGGCCTTAAGAGCACACATTCTTTCTTCGCAGTTGTGTGAAATGCCTTTGTTGCTCTATATTTAGAAATTCACAAGACTTGAAGACCTTTGACCTTAACAACTTTAATCGCAGTTATCATTTGGAATAAGAACTTTGTGGTATATTTTGGTTTGGGAAATGAGGTGACTGATAGTTTGTGGTGTGTATGTGGTCTGTAGATTATGCCACTAATGACAGGCAATATTTGTGTGTTTGGTTTGGAAGATACTGAGATAAATGCGACACTAAAAAAATGAAAGCAATAAAGGTATTGCAATGTGACGTTCCACATTTTATTCCCACGGATTCCATCATGCTATTCTGCCAATGTGAAGACTGTGTCAAAGCTTCAGCTGCAAAATTGTAATGTTGCTATGGAAATGTATTAATCAACCATTTTAAATCACTGAGGTGATGATAACTGAACATTTTTATTATTTGAAAGTCAGCATGTAACTCAACTATGGCGTTCTTTGAGAAATCTGTTATGCAGTTGCTTTTCCATAGATTTGCAATAGCAATACAAGACAAGAAGCGCCAAATAGTTTTCGCACAGGACAGTTAAAATTTGTGATAGCACAGATCCTGGATCAAAAGTCTAACTCTAAAAAAAATCATACAAAGCATCTGCCAGGGTGACCACAGATTGTGAATAAAATGATCATCAAACAATATAATATCATTAAAAATGAAAAAATAGCAAGATACACGCAGGATAAAATGCTAAAGCTTCTCAATGTAATCTGGATTTGCTGCTCATGTGATTGTTAATTGCAAATAATTGCATATGATCTGCACGATTCGCATGAGAGACCAACAAATGAGACCTTTTTTTCTTTTGGTAATGTTCGTTTAAATATTCTATTGTAAATCTTTGGATAATAAAATCCAAGCTACCACAGATCACTCTCTCATTGGCTGTGCAAGGCAGTAGAAGCAGGAAGTGATGTCATCACATGTTATGTGTGTATGCACTTGTAGGGCAGAGCACACACACATAGACATACACTCCAGATTTGTGGAGTAAGCACACCTTTTTTGCTCTTAGAGTGTTGATAGGGTGAATGTTAAAAAATCAAATCTCTTTGTTCTGCTGGTTTAAACATTTGCTTTTGTTCTTCTCTTGATTTGCACCATACCAGTTCATGCGCAGCTTTGCTATTTTTTTTTTATTTATTTTTTTTTATTGATAACACAATGTATAGCCTCTTTATAAAATGTAGTTATTGCTATGATATGCTTGTACAAGCACATAAAGAGCACTATCCATTTGTTCTTTTGTTTATCAGTTTCATTTTGATCACTCTGTCTGAAGTATTAAGACGTTCTTTGCTGTAGAGGGACATTTGCTAATAATTCACTGTGAATTTGATTTTGAATGGCTTTTCAGCATTGTTTTATTGAACTGGTTTTAGCTAAAAAAAGAAAATTGACCAGTTCATAGGGTTTGAAAAACAGAAGAATTTCACTGTTTGCTAGATTCTAGATTCTTTAAATGCTTGAAAGTCTCTTAGTCATTCACTTAGATCCAAGATGGCTGCTCGGCCCTAGAGCTGACATGGACTTTCACTCACTGTGTAAACTCACAAACTATACCTACTGGGGTTTATTTTTAATCAATGGATACAGTGTCACTGCTCTTACCATATGCATATCCAAAAAGATTTGCAACTCTATTTCAATCAATGCCAAGTACTAACAGCCAAACTGTCACCCAATAAAAAGTATGTGTATTTCAAAAAATGACTGTTGTGTTCCTTGTGTATGAAATATTATAGGAGTGACCTTATGCAAAAACATTCTTCTCTTTTAAATCTGAGGGAGGCTGAATTTGTATGATGTGATTAGTACAGGAGCTTATGATTTCTATAAAGAAAAGTAAGCATAAAGGTCTACAATTGAATCTAACCATTAGTGGGGCATGAGCAGATTGTATGAAAACATAGAGCTTGCACGAATTTGTAAAAATTAGCCACCAATTCGCCAAAATGTGAAACGGTTACAAATTGCCATGAGAGTGTGCTGGTGATTAAAGCTTACGCAGCACAATTTATGAATTTATATTATTTTTGTCTGAATTTCTTTTTGATTGGTATTTTATTTAACCAAAACAGATCATATAAGTGTATGGGCTGTAGTGGGTGCATTATTAATATGGCCGTCCAGGGAACTATAAAAGGAATTTGAATGAACCTTAACCATAATTTTAAAATGGTTTAGTGAGTAAGTAGGGTGCTGCTTGTTTGAATTCTACGACACTATAATCTAAATAAATTCTATAATCTGACGTCCCTGTTATTACACTTTCTTTACATCCTCTGTTCCATGTTCAAGCAATTCCTATAAGGTAAACAGAAATACATTTGAACTGACCTCCTGCACATCAACGGGTGGTTTTAGTCCGACCTTGACTTTACAATAGATTTCTTTCAGATGAATTCATGGCAGTGTAACTTCAGTTATGTGCATCCACTGTCCCTCTTTAAAAAGGTCTTTTAATTGCAAAGGCGAATTTGCCATTTGTAAATTCTACCATTCTATACAAAAATAAAAGCAATATTCTCACCGACTTTGATTTAGTTCATTGACACATCAACTTAAAGTACATAATGGCACCAGATTTTAAGAGTTTAGAAGCCGTTTTTTATTTTCTATGAAACCGTCAAGAGTATATGCTTTTGTTTAGAAGGAAAAGGGTCCTTCATTTTTTTGGTTTGTTTTCACAGAGTATATTTTAGGTCCTTCAGCGATGAGCTATAATGTATGAGACATTGAACTGTAACCATTCAATGAGGTTTTTATACTCAGAAGTGGCCACTTAACTCCTGTGTCCTGCGAAGAATGACTGATTTAGCTCAAAAGAGAAATGCCACTGTTTTCTTGTTCTGGCGAGAACATATAATTGCTGGATTATTTGAAATCAAGGACATTTTGGTCCTCTATAGACTGGCTTGACTGAAGTTTGAGTGTACAGCTTATGAACAATTAAAACTTAAAGATTTCAGGGCCTTAAAGGGGTCATGAACTGAGAAATCAAATTTCCCTTGATCTTTTGAAATATAATAGGTCAGTGTGCTATAAAAACATCCTGTAGGTTTCAAAACGCAAAACGTTCTTGTTAATTTAAAAACAACTTTTATTGAAACCAAGCTCAGAAAAGCGTTTTTTCAAAGATCTGCTGTCACACTTTAAGCAAAGTATTAAACGCCAGCAAAATCAATATACCAGACTCCTGTGGCCTACTCCGACCCCAACAAAAACCGAAAACTACTTGGCCTATACTGATGTGAAAGCATTCCTTCTATTCAAAACACCTAACATCAAATACAGTGTGAATTTATGTACTGGACTCAACTCTGGCCTACCTTTTGGTATTTCCTAAAAGTAATTTCTGCACAGAGACAATTCCTGGCATTAGAGAAATAAAATCTGATAATGACAGAAGCCAAGCCACATTTTGGTGCTGAAAAAAAAAAAGATAATTTCAAAGTCACACTGCCCCCTAGTGTCTGTTATATGTGTAGACGTGTGAATCGCCAGTAGTTCATTTCAGTATCACGTTGACGTCCAATAAATTTTTTAATGATTTTAAAAATGCTCAAATATTTGTTACAAATACAATAATAATACAAAATAAATAATGTATTACTATAAATGAGCTTACAATATATTTATAATATATTTAAAATATCACAAAATATGTTTCATTATTAAAACAAAGAAAACGCATAGTAATTTTTTTATATTTTAAAATGCTATGTGTATAGAGTTAACTGACATTTCAGGAGTAAACTCAGCAAAAGAACTGGCTGTGTGAGGTAGTTTAATATCATTCACTGTCCATTTGTGGGTCCCTTTTCCAATGCTGAGGGTACTTTACTTGCCACTAAAACATCATCCTCACTAGTCCGCGCCTATACGCCCGGCAGGTAAGTATTAATAAAAGGATTTTATTATGAAAACCCAGCAATTATAGTTAGACTCAAGCACCCTCGTCCAAGATCCCACCCCATCTGAATATGAGTCTAAACACAAAGCACTTCTGATTCAATTTGTACAAGCGACGGGTGTGTGTGTGTGTTATTTTAACAGAGGAGAGAGTGGAGGACCACTCAACTTCAAACAGGACAGGGTCTCTGTGTGTGTGTGTGTGTGTGTGTGTGTGTGTGTGTGTGTGTGTGTGTGTGTGTGTGTGTGTGTGTGTGTGTGGTTGAGAGAGAGAGAGAGAGAGATTTAGGAAGTTTATCAAAGAGGTGAGATCATCAGAACGGCACATCAGTCAGAACTTGGCTGGTTGCTAGGGTGATAGTGAGTGGTTATCTTCAGAGGTACCGCCCACACACATCTCTGTCACCAACAGAATCATGATCTGCAGAAGAGGCCGCTTGGCACATTTTCAGCATTGTGAAGCACATGTTCCTCGCCCCTCTATCAGGTAATCCTGTAATTATTTTATTGTCTGATTATTTATTTATTTAACAGAAACACCCACAACTAAGCAATACAAGGGCCTTGAAAACTGAGATGAGGGCTGAAATTATTTAACTGGCATATCAGAAGTCAAGCCATACATCACTAAAATGTATATACTGTACTGTATGTGTCCAGTGATGAGAACAGAGCTGGATATCATGTTCATTATATCATTGATAAAAAAAATGACAGTCAAGACTTTCACATTATTACAAAACATTTATATTTCAAACCAATGCTGTTCACAAAAATAGCCTATTGGACAGAACAACATTGAAAATCACTAGAAAGTGCCCATTTTTTTAGTCCACTTCTTTTTAATTTTAGACAGGCTATCTGTAGTTTTAATGTAATATTGCAGCTTGCTTTATATATAATGTAATATAATATAAATTTTTTTAAGTGTGATTTAGGTATCAAAATGGTCTTGTTTTGACAGTCTATCTATTGTTTTAAAATTTAAAACCTAACAAATTTATTTTTGGTGAAATGTTCTGTTCTGCTTGAAAAGCTTGTCTTTCTTTAAAATAAATATTTCAGATTTTAATACTGCAATTTTCATTCATTTTCCAAGTGTCGTTAAAGCATCAATTTTAGCCTTCCACCATACAGCTCTTGAGCACAGACCATTAAGTTGATTAAGAATACTGAAACTGTGGCAAAGCCAGGAAAAATCAGCCTGAAGCTTGTTTTCAAACTTTCCATTCTGTTATTCATCATGGGAGCATGCTGTTATCTGGATATTGCTTCTGATAAGTCAACTATAATTACTGGAATCAGAGATCTATGTTGTCATTAGCTTTGTGCCCAATGAAGAAATAAGAAAAGATGAAGAGAAAGAGTGACAGAGAGAGAGATGTGTGCATATTTGAGGGCATTCAACCCCTCCTCTTGCACGGTTTAATTCAGATTCTAACACCATAATGCAGTTTTACTCGGAGCTGAAGCCTGCAGATTGTTCTGATGGGCATTGTGAGTTTTGATGGCTTAAATGAGTAAAAAGTCAGTGTGATTGCAAATGTACTTTGTTAGTGTCACCATGAAAATGGCAGCATGCCTTTTTAATGCCTTATTTTTACAGCTCTGATTATAGGTTGGGTATTCAAACAAGTGAATGAGAAAACAATGAGCAGGCAATCAGGACTTCATAAAGCAGAGAGCAGCAAGGGACAGATTAATGAGAGTGCGTCACACACATACGCACTCAAGCAGCTTTTAGAAATGACACTCATGCGTGTGACATATTAAAAGAGGGCTTGCACTTTGAGCGGAGATGTGAAAAGGATCAGAGGACCGTTAACATGTACTTTAGAGCCCAATCTGACTGCTGTTTGCACAAAAGCAACAGAAATTCGGTCAGCATCAATATGCAGACACGTTTCACGAGTCACGTCGACCCTACAGAGGAGGAGAGGTTTCGACGGACGTGGATGGCTCATACACCCACATGTCACATACAGCAGCATTCAGATGAACAACAGTAACTGCTTTTAATTTGAGTGTTAAAAACAGTCTCAATGAAAATAATGGCTTCAGGAGAGAAAAGCACTAGAGCTAATGGATGGGAGACATGTTGCTTGTCTATAGACTGAGTGTTAGATAAATAAATAAAAAATATATATATATATAAATCATAAAATCATTCAAACTCTCTTTTTTTTTTAAATTGGGTTCTGACAGGGTTTGTGAAATCACAAACCAATTTTCTTTTTTGGGGGGCTTACATAGAAATCAATTGCAGCACTTAGTAGAAGCAGTTTAGTGTAAATATGATCGCCATATGATATTGTGCATTTGGTACACAATCAGAAAAAAAGGTACCCTAAGGTACAAAAGCTACAAAGTACATATTTTTTGCCAGCACATATTAGTACTTTAAAAGTACATATTACTACAAAAAGTGTAACTTTGCCCCAGTGACAGTTTGTACCTTTTTTTGTTTATCTTGTTTTTTGTTATGACAGTCTTCCTTGACATTTTAAATGTGAGATATTAAACCAAATCAAGCCTGGCAGGTGAGCTACTGGTAAATATGTGAAAAGGCACAGAAGACGTATGTCTTGAAAGTATTGTGTCATTAAACGCCACACTTTTAGTGTGTAATTTTGTGAAAGTGGTTGGGTGAAAGGATTGCCCTGCTTCATAGTGAATCTGCAGACAGAAGTGATGGTATACTGCCACCTTTTGCCCAAAACAACTCAAAACATACAACAGTTCTGAAAATCTAATAGTGGTTTAATCTGTCACAACATTACATTTAGACATTTAGCAGACACTTTTATCCAAATTTATTACAAATGAGGACAATGGAAGCAATCAAAATCACCAAAAGAGCAATGATATGCAAGTGCTATAACAACAAGTCTCAGTTAGCTTAATGCAGTACACATAGCAAGTTTTTTTTTAAATCATATAATAAAAAGAAAACAGACAGAATAGAGAAAGAATAGAGCAAGCTAGTGTTAGAGGCCTTTTTTGCTTTTGTTTATGGCATAATAAATAAGAAAAGAAAACAAATAGATTAGAGAAGCAAGTGTTAGTTTTATTTTTTTTAAGAAAACAAGCAGTAAATAAATAGAGTGCAAGTCTAAAAGGGGCAAGTTTAAAAAAATAAAAAATAAAGAATAGAATTAGAATAGAGAGCGCTAGAGTTAGCGTGTCAAATAAAGATGGAAGAAATGTGTTTTTAGCCGATTCTTGAAAATGGATAAGGACTGAGACTGCTCGGACTGAGTTGGGCAGCAGGTCATGCCACCAGGAAGGAACATTTTATTTAAAAGTCAGAGAAAGTGATTTTGTGCCTCTTTGGGATGGCGCAATAAAGCGACGTTTACTTGCAGAACGCAAGCTTAGAGGGCAGGGCACATAAGTCTGAAGTAATGACTTTAGGTAAAGGGTGCAGAGCCAGTGGTGGTTTTATAGGCAAATGTGACCGGTCTGTACCTTCGCTCTGCGTTGTGTTGATAACTTAATGAGACCGGACAACAGAGATTCCTCAAGACCACTTTTTATTCTGAATGAATAAAAAGGAAAATGAATGAAAAAAAAAATGTCAATCTGTGGCCTTTCTCCACAATTTCAGCATTGACCTTTCCCCAGCCGCGTTTACCGCGAACTGAAGGAAAGCAACCGGAATCTTAATTCTTAAAGGAGCCACGTACTATATTTAACAATTACAACAAACACTGAAAAATTAACATATAAGTATAGAAACAGCTAAAATAAAATAAATCAATATTAAAAGAGTAATTGCCAGAATACAAAATAATTATATAAATATAAAATAATTGATAATAACAAAGGGAGAGATTTTGTGAAATTAATAAATTAATATAACACCTGCTACATTCACCTCCCCTAATTTCACCAAAATTCTGCATGTGCATAAAGAGGATTTCCTAAAGAATCACAATGCAAAAACTCAATAGTTACAGCAATGAAAGCCATCTGTCTTGACAGATACAGAGAAATTTGAGGGTGATCAGGCCTCAAAACCTCTTAGTAAAGTATGTTGCCAAGTTAAAAATGTTCTCAATATAAAACATTTTACATGAATTCAAAACAACAATATTAACAGAAACATGGATAGAAAACATACACGAATGAATAAAAAGGAAAATTAATAAAATAAAATAAAAAGGAAAAAAATGCCACAATTTCAGCATTGACCTGCCAGTCAAAACGGATCATTTTAGCCACGGAACTTAGACATACATGGTTAATAAACACAAAAAATACATACTTCATGTTACACAACCTCTATTAGTGTTTCAGTAAGATTAAACTGTATTTTTAACAAAAAAAAAAACACATATTAAATCACAAGAAACGAACTAATTTGAAACTTTTTAACTCCAGCTCCAGCAGAACTCACCTTTCCCCAGCCGCGCTTACCGCGAACTGAAGGAAAGCAACCGGAACCTTCATTCTTAAAGGGGCCACGTACTATATTTAACAATTACAACAAATACTGAAAAATGAACATATAAGTCCAGTAGCTAGATGTTGTGACTTGGACACCTCACCTCTCCAAGAAATCTTGAAGGACCTATCTGAGATATAAGACTCAAACCACTGGAGTGTGGTTCCTGAGATACAACATGGGTAGAACATTTTCCGTTTTTTTTTTTTTAATCAATAACTTTATTTTTTAGTGTCATAATAAATACATTAAATAAGGTTAGAGGGGGGTTAAATGCCCATCTAAATAATAAAATATTTCGAATAATGTGTTTTCTTTGACATAGAATTAGCCAAAATATCTAATTTAGTAATCTTCATATACACCATCATTCATTTGAAAAAAATTGACACTATTTTAATGACAGTGGAAACAAAGAGCTTGCATGCTCCTTCCGCTGCATTAATTGTTGGGTTAATGGTCACGTGAGAGGAAACTCGCTGGAAAAACGTAGACTAGTCCACGCGTCATGTCAAAACAACACCTCTACAATAAAATCTCATCAGAATGAACAGGCTGGGTTTTATGATTCATAAAATGAATAGCTTCATATGCATGGACTCGGATACTTTTTTGGCATAATGTATTTGATCATCGTGCTGTCACGTTGACGCAAACGAGGCTGTTTTGGACGTAATTCTTCTCTGCATTTATATTTCAAAATTTTAAAATACAGTTTATTGAATCCTGTCGTAGTTTGACATGCACAGTATGTGTTTGATTATTTTGATATGGACGAGGGTGCGATGGTTTTGCTACTCGATATTTAAACTATCACACGCTACACCATGTTATTATATTCTTGGCGCATCTGCTAAATTACACCGAAACAGACGAAATCTAAGACTTATTTGTTAAAAACGTGGCAAGACCACTTATTGTCTATAATTACACTGATGCTGTCATGTTTTAAGTCACACAGTGTAGCGGGTTGAGCAGGTTTGGTCTGTACGGGAGTCTTTGTAGGACAAATTTGATGTTGCCATATATGTTCAGTTCATATGTTTAAATAAATCACTCTATTTGCTTTGTAATGTAACATTTCCACGTGGAAAAAAAGCGAGCAGTTCCCTCTGGCGCTAATCTTCAAGCAGTAAGTCATGCTGCATACTTACACAGATGTAAGAAAAAAATATACAAGATTACAAAGAAGGACATTCCAATAATATCTCGGACATTCCGCTGATCTGGCAACCGTACACTACACTGAACGAGAGAGGGCGCTACGACTCTGTGTGATTGGCCGTTGGCGGAACAGAGCGGTGTGTGATTGGCTGTTGCAGCGTCGGAGTGGGCTGAGTTCTGTGTGTGATTGGTTGAGCGCAGGGACGGAGGGGGAAAGGCTGAGCTGATCAGCTGGTCTCTGCAGATATCTGACTCCTGCAAAACAATGTAACGTCAGGGAGAAAAAGTGCTCAATGTCACAATCGCCGGGAGGAGAAACGCCGGATCACACACACCGCCGCGGAGCAACCGGATCCAGCACGGCTGAAAGATTTTTTCATCAGCACTACCGCCTGATTGAGAGAGGATACGCGCGGGACTGCGGTATAATCTCTCCAGTCTCATCTGTGTGTGTTTACCTTTGCTGTTTCACTTTCAGTGATGCGAAAGCGAAAAACCAGCGCAGACCATGACAGCTCGTTCACGGGTACACTACTGGAAGGCAGCTCCGATCTAAAGCAGTGCCACAAAAAGACAGACGCTGCTTCTGATCCAGGAGGTTCGGGGACAGCGATGGGGAGACGCTACAGGAGGTGAGACTGACAGCTGCTGTTGCACATGTGCCACTGATGTACGCTGCCTCTAAATCTGTTTTTACCAGTGTATGTTTCTGGAAAGCTTGCTCAACACTTTTTTCAACCTATACAGACCCCAGTATTAAAAACAATCTGACCGTGTTGTAACTTTTATTAGTAGTTCTGCATTAGTTCAAATTGGTTAATAGTTAAAAATGGCAGGAAACTGTTTTACCTACAAATTAGCTGATGTATATCTTCTCCACTGGCTCCTGGTTAAAAACCCTGGCTCTGTGTTGATTTTAAGTTATGAATCATCTTATGTATTTTCAGCACCAACGTTCCGTTTGATGCTTGTTAATATGATCATATTACATGCACTATTGTCATTCCACTCAAATCTTAGTTGGCATTAAGCCACATTATTATTCTCTATGATTGAATCACAGTCCCACGTGACTCTCTTGAGACTCTAAACAGTATTTAGGCTGTCCTGCCACAAAACTAGATCAGCAACTTCTGGGTGGGGTGTGAAGTGATTGTTTCTTAAGTATGGCAGTGTTATGGCAGATGCTTGCTTGTAAGTCTGAGATATTTGTTCAAAACTACTATTGTGTTTAAAAACTATGTGAAGACAAAATAAGGTTTTTGTGGCTTTTAGTCAACATCTTTTAGCTTTAAGGTCTGTATGCTGTATGCTAGAGTACTCCTAAAAGTTAAGAAAATACAGATTATTTATGTATTAAATATTATTTATGTATTTATTTATATTTTATTATTAGAGACTATGTTTTATACACACACACACACACACACACATATATATATATATATATATATATATATA